ATCCATCCATCCATCCATCCATCTAACTAACGGGGAGGTGGACCAATAGAAGAGGAGCAGCGTGTCCAGGTAGGAAGCAGGACAGACGACGGAGGAACTGCTGACGAGAGCACTGGTCCAGCTGCTCATTAAATGGCTCTGCTGCTAATTAGGCTGCGATGAGGTCACGCTGCCGACTCATCGATTCACTTCCTGTTCAGGCAGCCAATAGTGAGCTGCTGTCAGCGGGAACCTGGGATCTGCAGGATGATAAATGGCTGAGGCCAAAACCAACAGCAGCTATTGGCCAGTCAGCAGGAGTCTGGGCTCAGGAGGAGCAAACAGCAGAAAACACTGAGTGACTCACTGGAGCTCTGATCCAGCAGCTCAGTGTCACAAACCAACACAGACTGTGGTTCTGCTGCTCTGCTCCGTGTTCCTGAAGACGAAGCTGCCGCCACAGATCTGCTCCTCGTCCTCGGCAGCAGCAGCTCACAGAGATTAGCTCCCAGCCAATCTGGAGAAATTGGGAAGGGACCGCCGCAGTCATTAATCCAATCAAAGGCCTCCGAGTCGCCCTGCAGCAGCCTCCACAGAGCAAACCGAGTGGAGACACTCTGAAGCTCTGCAGGACTCAGAGTGGAAACAAACATGTTCTCTGAGAACAAAGAAAAGCTGCTTCTGTCACCATGTGTAGAGTCACACGGTTCACAGTGAGCCTCACCAGGATCAGGACACGGATCATCTACATACAGTCACACTTTGGACGGGTCAATAAATATTGTTCTACACATGCAATCTGCAACATCATTGTTCATATTAAATATTAATAACTCATTCTTTCTACAGGTCGACGAATCAGCAGAACAATCTGTGTGATATCTGTTTTTCCACATCAAAGAATCTGTGCAATATTAGTTAATTTCTAAAATACAGAAAAACTACACAGAACCACAGAGAGAACATCTCCTCCTGCCTGAACCCTCTCCTTCAGGTCTACACTCCCTCTGCTCACTAACTGGACCAACCAGAACCTCCTGATCCAACCACCACAACAGGCCCAGGTCGGTAGCTGGACTCTGCTCCTCTGTGGTTCTGGTGGTGGAACCAGTTCCCAGACTGTTCAACCTGCTGACTCCCTCTCAGTCTGTAGGAACAGACTGAAGAGCAGCGCCCTGTCACACTGAACTTGTTCTAAGGCTCTTATCTTGGTTGTCTTCTCCTGACCAGATCCTTGTTGGTGCTGTATCTGCTCTCAGATGTACGTCACTGTGGATAGAAGCATCTGCTGAATGGAACCGTACAATACGTCTCCTAAAGAGGAATTCATGCAATAAGAACATTTTTTATGTTCAAACAAATCACAGCAGCATCTGTAACAGCAATATATATACATATATATATATACACACACATATATATGTATATATATATGTGTGTGTATATATACAGTATATATATATATACATATATATATACTGTATATAGATAGATAGATAGATAGATATATGTATATACATAGATATATACATCTATATCTATATATAGAGATAGATGTATATATAGATATAAATTTTGAAGAAAATATTAATTTTGTACATTTTTTAGAAGTAAAAATTTGATCCTGTACAAATCTTTTTCTTCTCTAAATACAGATGTTCCAGATGTTCCTCACCAACACGGCTGTAACTCCTGTTTCAGGTGAGGTTGAGAACTTTTTTCTTGTACATCTGACCAAGCTTAGCCTCGTGTTACCTTCATATTATGACTATTTTCTCAGCTTAGGTGGACCAGGCCCTCCTGATCCTCATTCCCTCCCTTCCCGTCTCACCTCAGGTGGGATGGGCTCCAGGCCGGAGCAGTTTTCGTTGCATTTGTCGTAGACGAGGCGCAGCTTCCTGAACAGCACAGAGAGCATTCGGAGGTGCTCCTGCAGCTTCCCCAGCCGGTCCTGGTGGGTGTTGGGGTGGTACGTCACTCCGTTCGGCAGCTGAGGAGAACCAACAGCAAAACGTCTGTTAAGAACCTTTTGTTAAATAAAATAGAAGCAACAGTCATCGGTCAGCTCTGAGCTGAAAGGCCGTTAGAAAGATCCACTAAAGCCAGTAGACATGTTGTTATTCACTCTGTAACAACCCTTCTGCTGAGGAACCAGAGCAGTCAGAGTGTTTGTGATCTCAGAACGGTCCTGATAAAACCCAGATTAAACACAAAGAGAGCAGCATCAGAGGACGAACAGCTTCACGGCTGCACTTTGTTTCCTCTCAGACTGGAACTGAGGCGGCTCTAAGAGCAGCGAGTGTTAAAGAGCAGCGAGACGTGCTGTTATTGAGCATCTCTGAGCCTCTGGGGCAGCGCTGTCTGATTAGAAGCATCCTACATAGAACCCAGCTGCCTCCGGGGCAGCGCCGAGACGCACGGACACAAACACCGACCGAGCAGCTACACGGAGAATCTCTATGAGCATCAAAGCAGCCTGTGATGTGAAGAAACAAGGCTGCTGTCTGTGCATTCTGAGGCCTGTTTGTTTGCGTTAACAAGCAGCAGGAACATCCAGCAGCCACCAGCCGACCTGTAGATCAGAACCGGACCGAACCAATGAGCACTAAAACCCATTAGCTGCTAACTCACTGTCACAATATACATTCATCAGTAGTTCTCTTCTCTCTCTCCCACAGAGTTCACACACATGTAAAACATGTAAAGCACATTTCTGAAATATCGCCTAAAAAATGCACATCATGGGGATGTTATTGATTATCAGTTAATCAATCAACTGCTGCTCAAACTTTAGCCAATAAGGCAGCAGAAGAAAGACAAGCCAGAGTTAGCAAAAGGCTCATTTTTCATTTGTAGTTGCAGAACAGATGTTAAAACCATCCTCCAAACACGACCAAAGTTCATGAACTAGAACTCCTCGTACGAGCACATGGTGGCAGCAGAGAGCATTGTGGGAGTTCAGCAGCAACGGGACCATGACAGACACTCTGAGGTCAATGACCTCCAACCAGCTGATGCTTCATTAATGAAGTTCACAATAAAAGGAGCAGTGAATAAATGACACTCGCTGCAGCTCCAGCACACCAGCTCACCACCTCTCAAACACTGTAAACCTGCTTTTCACTGCACACTGGTGAGTTTAAGATTGAGAGTTTTTCAGCCACATGTTGGAAGCGATTCAGAAGAAGAATGAAAGAGAAAACTCAGACGTGTGAATCTGTTTTAAACAGAGCAGCTTCACCACAGCAGCACTCAGCCGGTAACCTCGTTAACCTCGTTAACCATGTGGACGTGTTAGCGAGGTACAAAAACAGACTTTCTTCATGAACTTTAAACTCTGTTCTGTCTCTGCAGGTTCTTATTTCTGCTGGTTTCACCAAATCTGAGGAAAACTCAGTGGTTGGAGCTTTTTTCCAGCCGACTGTCTTATGTTAAATAAAAGCTCTCTGCTGTGTTAACATCAGACTGATTCATGATATTCTTTGTATTTTACGTTGTTGATTCCACATCAGTCTGTTGTGCAGCTCTGATCAGTGGCGTGTGATTCGTCCTGTGAAGGCGTCACGACTTTGGAACACAAATATAAATAATATACAGTGATTTGAATATTTTTCTACACTTTGGCTCAATATTCGACCAAAAACATCACAGAGAGCAAAACACTTTGTTCTGTAACTTATCATCAATCACAAACTGAAACGTCAGTAAACTCAAAGCTGAAAGCAGACGGTAGCAGCTCAGACTCCTGAGACTTGGTTGGACTGGTTCTGCTTGTTGCTTCCAGCTGTTCGGGACTTTTTCCTCTGACTTGATCAAACATCACTGAGAGAAGCTGCTGCATTCCCAATATTCCTGAACATTTAACTGATCCTTCACATTCAGCGTTAGTTCACCTCAGACAGGTGAGCTGTCAGAGTCACACTGGATCAGCTGCAGGTAAATCAGCAGCTACACAACCAACATAAGATCAACTTTATTGATCCGTCATCACGGAAAGTTGACAGCTGTTTGACTTTTTGATTTTACTGTTTAGAAAGTTGTAGTTAAATTATTGTCACATGTGGACGGAGCCACTGTTTAGAGAATCAGAAATAAACTGAGAATCATTTATGCTGGTAGAAGTAATAATGTTCTAGATCCTGCTGGTATCTAACAAAAACAAAAGAGTATTAAACTGATGATAAGTGATTATCATCGTCATGGTACCGTGAAGATCATCACAGCGTCTGAAGGACCGACTGTGTCCCTTCAGCACGCTGATGAAGGTTGACGATGGAGCCTGTAGACGTGGAGGAAGCGTGTTCATGTTCCACACCTGCATGTTCCTGAGCAGCTGGAAGATCTCCATGGTTCTGAGGACGATGTCCTGGACCGTCTCCTGGCCGATGCGACACAGCGACGCCGTGTTGACGTCACGGGCAGCCTGCTGAGGCGGCGGTGGCTGCTGACCGCCGAAAGGCGACACCAGAGGAGGGGTCGTCATGGAGACAGCAGAGGAGGATGAAGGAGGAGTCGGTCCAGGTGGAGCTACCTGTCAGGATGTTCCAGCAGAACACTGTTACATGTCTGACAGTCGACGGGAACTACAGGATCAGTATTTCTATCAATGGACAGGTTCGGAAACTGATGTTCTGTTGATTCAAAGCCGATGAGTGACGGATCTCTGCTGTGCTCGGGGATGTCATGTTTAAAACTTTAATGTTCAGTATTCATTATCATGTCAAACTTTGTCACTTCACTGCCTCAGAATACCTGACATCATCACTTCTAAGTTTCTATTTTATCTGGTCTCATGCTCAGTACATATTTTAGTTTCAGTTATGTCTGATACTCACATCTGATTGTTTTCGACTAGACGCTACTTTTGTTCTCATGTTTTCGTTCCTTCAGAACGACTAAAACCTCCTCTCTTCATTCAGACCGACATCATGTCACAGGTCTCTCCTTTCAGACAGCGCTGACTCATCATTCAGTTTAGATTATCTGCTGACTTTACACGTACAGTTATAAGCCACAAAAAAATAGTAATATCACAAAATAAAACTAAGAAAAAAAACAGAACAGTCCATACATAACGAAAAACAAAAAGCCAAGTTTTCTCACAGGGATCCTTAGAGTCATAACTTTAGATTTAAATCAGTCGTGTTCATCTCGTCCCAGCCTCATGTTTCATCAGGTGGAGCTCAGTAGTTCATGCTGGTTCCATTCGTCAGCTTCCATCACTAATAACACTTCAGGCTTTAATGTGTGCTGCTGTCAGATTAAGTTGTATGTTGTGTAGTTTTTGTTGGGGTTTACTTCTGATATATGAAATACTCAGCAGTGTCTACACCTCAATATTTAACCTTGTTGGGCTCATTTTTAACCCTGATTATATTCATTTTAAAGGCTCTGTATTCATTACTTTCAGACTTCATGAGTTTTGACAGTTCCATATTTTTGAACATACTTTATTTAATGTGTTGAGTCGCTACGTTCCTGTCAAAGACGCAGCAGGTATGAACAGTGTGACTCTGCTGGAGCCTGGTGTTGAGCTGTCAGCAGGTGAGTTCAGGTGAGTTCAGGTGAGTTCAGGCTCTTAGTTAGCAGTTAGCATTAGCAGTTAGCTCCGCCACAGCAGCAGCTTCTAGAAGCTCCGCAGCTGCTAGAAACTGTTTGAACGAGACGTTCAGCAGCCGGAAGCTCCAGCACAGAGACGGTCTGGGTTCTGGCGGCGAAAGAAGTTCTTCACGGAGGTTCTGCAGACAGTTGCAGGTTGTTTCCTCAGAACCGGAGTCAGTGCGACTCCAAGTGTCAGGTAGCGGTCCATTAGCTCACATGTCCGGCTGCTGTCCGCGGAGCTACGCCGCTCTCCGGCTGCTTATTCCGGACGTGTCAGCGTTCAGGCGGAACTGTGAGCTTCGGCCCGCAGACACCGAACTCCTTTATCTACCAGAACACAAAGAAAGGTGTGTCTTTACCTGCGTGGCGCTAATTTATCTCTTTGTTGACATGTCGAGCCGCTGATCTGCTGACGGGAGAGCAGCCGCTGCAACTATCGCGAGACGTGCCGCCGGGGCGAGACGGGAGGCGGTAAATCCTGTAGTAGAGGCGCAACGTGAATGAGTCTTTGTGGGAGTAGAACAGAATGTCCGTTATTAGTCCCACAGGAGGAAGTCTGCAGCGTCCCAGCAGCAAAGTGACGGAAAGAAACAAGAAAATACGACTAAGACTAAAGAGGCGGGCTATATACACTATAAATACAATATGAATAAGAAAAAAGACTTTTATTTTACTGGAAGAATATGCTATAATCGTCACCAGCTATGTAATTTAGCTATAAGTATTTTTTTTATCGACACATTTCCTGAAAATATTTCAGAAACAACAACACTTTTACGGTAAATAACGGCGCACTGCAGTTCTGTGCAGGTTAGATGTGGCAACAGCGCCACCTCCTGGCGTCGTCTCATATAACAGCATCGTCCTGATTCACACTGCACACCTGGAGTATCTTCAGCATTCAAAACGATCTGAAATACAAGAACAGCACATTCAAACATGCTTTCTGTATATTTAATAAATAAATATACATACATATCAATAACATTACAAAAACACTGTGAGTTTATATTTCCAATGTAAAACAATATTAAATACCTCCATCCATCATCTCTCCACCTTCATCCTCACTAGGGGGGCGGAGCCTATCCCAGCTGACTCAGGGTGAAGGCAGGTTCACCTGGACAGGTAACCAGTCTATCACAGGGCTACACTTAGAGACAGACAACCAAGCACACTCACATTCACACCTACGGACAATTTACAATCACCAATTAACCTCAGCATGTTTCTGGACTGTGGGAGGAAGCCGGAGAACCCGGAGAGAACCCACGCTGCACGGGGAGAACATGGAGACTCCACGCAGGAAGATCCCGGGTGTCCTCACCGGCAACCTTCTAGATATATATATATATATATGCTTCACGGCATGATGCTGCCACCGCCGTGCTTCGCAGTGGGGGTGTTGTGTTTGTGATGATGTTCATGTTCTTTAACATCTCAGCTGCTGGAGCTGGGAACTCTTGTAATTTCAATCATTCATTATTGTTATTATTATTATTGTTGTTGTTGTTGTTGTTGTTGTTGTTATTGTGGGTGTTTTCATTGTTTTTGTACATGTAAATATAACCAGACACCATCTCCTGGAGGATCAGGTTTTTAACGGGTTTCTGTGACAGTGCAGCAGCAGCCTCTCAGGTTTGGGTTCTATATGCAACAGAATTACTGCAGACTCTGGAAAAAAGAGCTTTGTTGAAGAATGGAAGCCTCCAGGCCCGAGTGGGACTGAAAAAGCAGATTAGGATGCTATTACTTAATACACATCATTCACTGAAATTTGGGGTTACAGGCTGGATTTCAATTTCCTTTTATCTGCAGCACATTTTGTGTAATAATAACCTGAAGTCCTTATTTTCACTCTGTCCCTCTGATATGAAAGTTCTCTGAGTGACCACAGCCTCCCAACAGGACGGCGCTCTGCAGGATGAACCACCTCTGGTCCACAATCTGCTGCACGACTGAAGCGAACCGTTATAAATGAGTGTCTCCAGCATCGTCCGGCTCTTCTCTGGCTTTGACTAGGAGGCAGTGATGGAGGAGGCAGGTATGGACGTGTTCCTCAGTCACATGTTGGACATTAAAACAAGGACATTTAGAAACAACTCTTCTGGTTTGGACAATATAAATGCAGCCAGGCTCTCTGTGTGCTACACCATGATGTAAAATACAATATACAACTGTAACCAAACAGAAAATCAACATTTTTTTAAAAACATTTCTTAAAAATCTTTTACATTTTTTCCTATAATTTTGAAAAACAAAACGATTAATAAAATGGCTAAAACAGACTGTGAATGTGTTTAATGTCAAATAAACATTAAAAACCTGAAACTAAAAACATTTAACTTTATAGAGGTTTTTTTTTTCCTATTTCTTATCACAAAAATATCAATAAAACCTTTTAAATCTAAAATGCTTCTGTACAAACGCTGGTTTTACACGGATAATAAAATATTTCAGCATTTTCCTGAGATTGTGTTTTCTGTCACTTCACTGTCATAGAAATATCGGTTCCTTACAGTGTTTTTGTTGCTTTATTGGGCGTGTGATGAATGTGAGTCCTGACAGCTCATTGATCATCACTGATTATTGATCAGTGAATCAGTGAAAAGACAAACAACACAATGCAGTTCCGACTGTTAAGAAGCTGCCCGTCACTGAGGGATCGGTTCTGCCAACTCTCAGACTCAAGCGATATGCGAACTTAATCACAAACTGGACGGGGTTCCAGAACTTCTTTGCAAGATGGGCACCAACTTGGAGCAGTTGGACAGCCCGATCCGGATGTAATGGGCCATCTGATTCAGCTTTTTGGATCACAGAGAGAGCCAGTGGGACTCTAAGGACTGACGGTAAACTGCAGAGTCGGCCTGACCCAAACAATCTTCTTTATCTTCATTCGGCTCCCCCACTTCGGCCTTGGAAGGCTGATACCGCTACACTTCTCCTGGATGTTATGCAGACAGATTATGGGATGTAGCGGGTAGTTTCGTTGCTCTGTACTTGTGACATGTGCAATGACGGATAAATCTGATTCTGATTTATTACTTTACGGCGTTTAAGGAGGACGTTTAGAAGTTCTCCAGTCAGCTGGACCTTCAAAGGTTCAACATCTCCAGAAGTGAAACTAAACAGCTGTGAAACCTGCCGAAGACACAGAATAGTTTCTATCAGAACAACTGAATGGATCTTCATCAATCAAGACGCGTAGGTCCAGAACAGATGAGAGTTTATTTTACAGTACATTTATGAGTTCACAGCAAATACATTTAAAATCCAGAAACAAATCAAAAATAAAGCAGATAAAACGTCACAAACAAGTTGAGCTCCTGGTGGTTTCTAGCTTCGTTCACAGTGAAACAGCAACAGAGCAGAACCTCTGGAGGTTCTACTTCTCTGGGTTCTCACACAGAGAACATCCGGGCTTCAGGTCGGCCTGCCGCTCCATCTGGATGGTGACCGAGTGGAAGTTGTAGGAAGAGAAACAGGCCTGGGTCATTTCTCTGAGGACGGTCTGAGCGTCGACGGACTCATCTGGAAACAGGAAGTAACAGTAGAACTGGTCATGATGAGGTCCAGCAGCAGAACCCAGACAGAACCTGATAACTGGGACTAAATACACTATTTTCAACATACACTTTAGAGTTTGTGCTCTACAGCATCAGACCTTCATCAGTCTACACCGTGAGTCACCTTCACATATCAATAGAGACGCTTCACTGGTTTCACCCCAAAAACCACCAGCAGGTTCAAAAGGTTGTCTGAAAAAATCACCAAAACTACACCATTGATCAGACTGTAAGAACAGAGTCTCTGTCTGAGTTTAACTTCCCCACAGTCCCTCAACTGCTTATCTGTGGAGTTCAGTCAGGAAACAAAATCCAAAATCACTTTATTCTACTGGACTCATCTAAAAAATTGACCACAAACAAATTCTTTGCTTCAACTAGATTCTGTAAAAAAAAACTGTGAGAGTTTCCAGGTGACCTGAAACAGAACCAGGTCCAGTGTTCAGACTGAGACACCTGGATGGATGTAGAACTGATCTGGTGTCAGGTTCTAGCAGAACCCAGATGTGTTCTTCCTCCTAAATGTCATGTGTCTATCTGCTGTACTGATGAAGTTCTGAGGCTCAGAAATGATGGAAAAAGTCCATTAAAGTGATCAATCTGGACCCTCCTCTGTGGACTTGAAGGACCTGGACCTCTGGAACATTCACAGTCTGGAGGTAGAACTCTGGTCAGTAGATAAAGGTGCTTTATTTGGTTTGGTTGGTTTTAAAAGGACTGACTGAGGGCTGCTTTAACTGAAATAAAGATGTGATGAATTTGTTTTCTGGCATTTGAATGATGGCTGATGTAAACATGCATGTTTCAGTGTCATTTTCAGAGAAGGTAAAGTTTCCTGCTATTCTGACCGATGGCGACGTGTGCAGACAGAACCGCCTGGTTCACGGTCAGAGCCCAGATGTGCAGGTTGTGAACAGCTGTGACTCCTTTAACTGCCAGCAGACCGTCTCTGACCTCCTTGTACTTCACCCCCGATGGAGTTCCTGAGAACAGACAGCAGTCAGATGGAGAACAGG